AAATGGAAGACATGGTGCCAGGAATAGAGGCAGACACCTATAATCCCAGAACTCTAGAGAATGAGGCAGGAGGACCACTATGAGTTTGAGGACAGCCTGGGCTACATAGTGAGTTCAAAGCTAGCGTTAAGACTACAGAGCAAGACATTGTCCCAAACAGACAAACAATAACAAAAAAATAACGGCTTGGGAGAGAAGTTTCAGTATAAAGGAGAGTTCTCAAAAGAACAAACCATGCAATGATTTAATCAATGAACAGAGCCAGGTTAAAAGCCAACAGTTTAAAAAAATGCAGACCGAGGAATGTTAAGGCATGTAACAAAAACATCAAATGTGAACACAGATAGAACATGGTTTGCTGACTCCATTTTTATATTTCCACAATTATAATTATATAAATTATTTTTCATTAATATTTAGAAACAATACATAGACAAAGCAAGGGACTGTTCAAAGGTAGGGTGTAGAGTTACCAATCTTGATACTAGAGAAATAAAGATGATAAAATTTGGCAGGCGGAAGCAAAAGAGCACTGAAGGAAGAAAAGGGGGCATTAGTATTCTTATCATATAGGTGAGGAATCAAGGGGCACATTTATATTTGATGAATTAGAAATGACGTTGCAAAGATAGTGATAAAGCAACACAGAAAACCAATAGACAAACTAAATTTGAGACAATGGAGTGGGAGAAGGGAAAAGTAGTGTCAAAGGAGCCAAACCAGCATGAATCATAGGAGAATATTTCTAAAGTTGATAAATTAAGACAAAACAATAGCTTTGTACTCCAGAAACCTGGGCCTAGAAGTAGAGAGAAATAAGAAATTGTTGCATTTTTTCATAATCCCTATTTTACTTCTTTTGTCTGCATTTTAAGCCAAGTGCATAAAAATTAGTCAAACTCAGCAGGTAGAGATAATTCAGCTTGTATGAAGAAAGGCAGACCCAGGCAGAGGCCAGGTGGAAGGGCCTGAGAGGCTGCCCAGGGCTAGTGACTGATCAGCAAAGAAGAAGTAAGCTATTTACAATGTCACCACTGCAGGCTTTGGTAAGATTGCCACCTGGGAGCATCCTTTCCTTGAAAACACCTCCAGTGGACTGTCAAGAATGAGTGAACAGAAAGGCCAGTATCATCAAAGGAGATCTACAGTGAAGAAGAGGGTCTCACGGAACTTGCTGTTTGTGGCAAATTCGTCAATCCTTCCTATGAATCCAAGAATTCTCGAAACCCCCCATGGCCAGACTCTGAGGGTGGTAAGAATAGACAATGACTAGGTTCTCTAACTGAGCCACACCACAGCCAGGTCTGCCAGGTCACAGCCATGAATATTTGAACAAGAAAAGTCCAGTTCTATTGAAATCCAGTCCATGACACTTTGCACAGATAATTCCTTTTTTTTAGATCCTGTGATTGCTCTTGGGAAAGAATAAGGTGATCAACTGTTTTAGTTTCCTGGAGAGAATTCTGGCTCTAGCAGTGAAAGTCCTGTGTCTGGAAAACTACTCTGTCCTCAGAAATAGGGACAGTCAGCATCCCTGGGGAGAACTCTAGATACTTATTATATGTGAAATACTGTCCCATGGTGAACATTTATATCTGACAAAATGCTTTGGTTTCCTTGTGATTTTTATTTATCTTCTTCAGCCTGTGAAGTGGATATGACCTGGTCTATGTTCATCTCCAGTTTACACTGGGAAAATTGAGGCTAGAGAGATTAATTATCTGAATAATCTGAGAGTCAGATATAAGTTGAGAAAGGAGGTTTCTCTCCTTATTTGGTTCCACACTCAGAACTCTGTCTCAAGTCTCAACCTTCTGTTTTGAAAGTATTCCCTAGTAAATAATGGTAATAATAATAATAATAATGCTTCACCATCTCCTCCTCTCATCAATAGCTACCATTATTAGTATTATGCTCTCAACAAGGAAAGTGAGGAGCAGAGAAATTAAGCAATCTACTAAAGAAAACACAGTTAATGAGCGGCAATCAGAATTGAAACCCAGATTCCTCAGGCAGTATGTTCCAGTTGCCTGAGCAAAAGCAATTTGTGGTTCTTTTACTCTTTAGAAATTCCTAATATAGTTCCCCAAGGCGCCCCCAAATACTTCAACAATTGTATCATCCACTAGTTTCTTCTCATGGGTCTTATTGTGTCAACCAAAAAATTCTCTGCCTTCCTAACTCAGGCCTTGGACCTGACCTTTCTCATGCATAGAAGTTACTCATTCAGACAACTCATTGTAACGGAGAAGGAAAGGAAACAGCCTCTACAATTAGAGCACAGTTTAATTCATAAAAGTACTGTCTGCTAGGATGGGTGGTCTTTGGCAAGTGTTCTAAACCTCTTGGAGCCTTCATTTCTTCATCTGGAAGTAGAAGACAATAAATTGGAATCATGCTGAACAATTTGAGGGATAATGAGCACATTCTTCCAACTAGCCTAACACTATACATGGCTCCCAGTCTGTGTTCTCCGTGTTGATCAAACAGGAAAGACTGGAACTCTTACCATTGTGTATTTTAAGAATGACTGAGCACTTCAAGAAAAATTGTACATCCTAAGGACAGATCTGTATTCTGTACATAGATGTGTGCTTAGTGAAAACTAGTATGCTCATTGCTGAGTTTTACCTGGACAGTGATATACAAAGCCTCAGGAATCCATGAGTACAATTATACACAGCTGCCTGTGCATTGAATAGAGAGACCACATGCTGTGTGCTGAGCACACGAGGAGACAGAGGCTCAAGCAGGGCCACAGATTATATGGACAGCAATAAGACCGGCAGCCTTACAGTTCAGACAAGGTTCCATTTTGAGCCTATTGGGTAGGATGAGCCTAAATACCATTGTGAAAATACAACTTCAGCACCATATTGGTTACTAATCTGTCTTCTATACTTAATTTTCCCTGTCAGTTTAAAGATACTTAAGTTTGCACTTGAGCTGAAATACTATTGAAATTCTTCTATTAACCCTTTTTAGTTTGGTCTGGACATCAAATGTACCAATGTGTGCATGTGTGATGCAAACATTTTACAAAAGCAGAGAGATTAAGTTGATAAATGGCACATTTCCAAAGACTTTTTCAATTTGATTTAGCTACTTCAGTTCACAAACTTAATTCTTTTCATGATTCTCATCACAAACTGAATTGGATGGGAACTGAATAAAATTCAATGGTCAGCTTCAACATTGTTGTTATGGAAAATTTGAGTCTGTTCTCATCCAATTCAGTTTGCGACCAGAATCTTGGAAAGACTTAAGTTCCTGAACTGAGGCACCACGGTATTCTGTTAGCAGAAAGATTGAAAAAATGACAACAGAAGGTTAAATCCTAAAATTCGAATTAAAATCTTAAACAGGTCAAAACTTTGCAAATTTGAAGGCTAGAATCTAAGCACTGTGGCATAAAAGAAGACATTTAATTTTCTTCCTGGGCACACAGCTAGACTACACTCTTTGGCTTTGCTTACAATTGTCTATTGCCCTACAAGTAAGTTCTAGTTCAGCCCTGGACCCGTCCAGAAGAAACTACAGGGCGCACACTAATCCATTTGAGCATCACAATTCCCCTGGGAGATGAAAATCAACTCTATTTTGAGGACGCAGAATTCAAGTTCCAGAAAGGTTGAATAAATTAGAAATATCCCCAAATCAATGCTTCAAATACTAAGGAATTTATTTCAGTTTCAATAGATTATTTGATCATTACTGTAGGAAATCAAGTCTTCACAGTGAATCTATTAAATATAATGGGAGAATTTAGCAATATTGTTGGAAGTCATGACTCTATATGCCATGACAATCAGAGAAATCATACCATTTTTGATGGCAACACGTTATTGTAAAATATCTAGAAGTTCATCTAATAGCACTTACAATTTTTTGTAGAAAAAATATGTAATCATTGATACAAACTAATAAAATAAGCCATCTTGAGGATAGTATAATTCTGGTTTGCAAGCTTTTCACTACACATGGGAACAAGAGAGCAGAAATGAGAGACTGAAGCAGAGAGAGGGTGGGAGGGAGTCACAAACTCTGTACTTTGTACAGTACTGATAACCACTAGACCAGCTACTAAAGGGCTCACACTTCCTGCTGTTCGACCAAAAGAAGAAAGAGAGGAGAGCTCAGGGTACATTTCCATAATGCCTGTACATTGCTGGTGGTTAGGTTGCCAAAAGCCCTTTTTGGAGACTAAGAAGCAAACAGAAAGCAAGGCCAAGTACAAGTGAGTGATTCATAAAAGGCAGCCTGGGCCTGGCCAGTTGGGTAGGGTTGTAATCACAACTACTTGGGAGGCTGAGGCAGGAGGATTGCAAGTTCAAGGCCAATCTGGGAAGTGTACTGAGTGATCCTGTCTCAAAAGAAAATATAAAAATGTCTGGGAATGTGGCTTAGTGGAAGCGTGTTCCTGGGTTCAATAACCAGCACCCAGGGAAAAGAGAAGGCAACTTGATGCCTTTCACTGCACTGAGCACCAAGCCTACCACATCTCCAAGGCCAAGATTCTTGCAGATTGACTGGAATGTGGGGACAGACCCAAGGCCCCAGAGACCCCAGACTGCCAACCAGAGAGGAGGCTTCGGACTGCACAGCCATGTGTGTCTCACGCTCAGGTCCTCAGCACTGACTGTAGCTTGTTTTATGAACTCTTTTCTGCTCAGCTCTCCTGAGGCTATGCTCAAATCTTCACCCACACAGAGGGGATCTTCTCTTTTTCTGGGTTGAAAGTTCACTGGACCCAGAAGTCAATTTCAAGAGCTCTTCTGAGGACTGTCAGGTCAACTGGTGAGCTTTCTGTCCAAGAACATGTTGGATAAAGGCACTCACAACAGGCAGCCAAGAAAATCTAGTTGCCATTATGCATGGCTCCTTCACTGGGGCCCAGGGCACGTAGCTACAGTCAATATCCTGCTGTGGATACAGGGCCATGCTCTCATCCAGAAACAAACTCTTCTCCTGAACACTATGGCTCTTTTCCTGATTTCCAGGAAAGAGGTAGATGCAGATGGTTTGATGGACCTTGGGAGACTTGGGAATAAGAAGATCCTGGATTCACCCCCTGCCAAGGCATCTCACTGGTTGGGAAAGAGAAGAGAAGATGCCTGATTCTTGCAGTCTACGGCTTATGAAGGAAATCATTGTCTGGAGGAGGTGAGTTTTCCCTTATAATATCTGTATATTTCCTCAGCTTGTGGAGTGTTTTATTCTGGATTCTTCAGATTTCCATTTCAACTCTCTGAGACTTAGTTTGCTCATCTTAAAAATGAGATTGAGTCTTTCTATTTTATAGTGGTTAATAAGAAAACAAATCCAAAATCTGCTATGTAAATTGTGCAAGGAAAGGCCCTACCAGGAAGGTGAATAAGAGCACTTGAGTGCGCCTGGAGGTGGCCGATCCCAAATTCACCTGGGCAGCTGCCCCGTACGTGGGACTCTTCCAGACCTCTGTCTAGGTATCCCTTCACCTGGTGCTCTGTGTGTGTCCTTTACACTATCTGTTGTACTAAACTGGTGATTATGAAACATGCACAGGCACGCACAATAAAGCATGAAAAAACAAAGGTCACTATGTTTAGCCTTAAACTATAAATTCATTTTTCAAAAGCTCGCTTAATCTGGCCAAAAATAAAACAATCAAGAAAAAGTAAAGTTCCCTCTTATGTAACTTGAATTTGGGGGTTGAACTGCTGAGGCCTGGGGACTGTTTTAAAACTTTTAGAAGGAAAGTCTGGTGTTTTCCCACTTTCTTACATTAGATGCAGTAAAGTTAGCCTTTAAAAACTTAAAACTTTTCCTCTGGCTTCTGCACAATGGGGAAACTATAATGAAACCTGATTAAATGGCTTTTTAGCTGACAGAGCAATAAATCTGTGGAAATGTATTCTTTTTGTGTTATACCATGACTCTATTGGATCTGGAAATAAATCACTTGGTGTGTCATTGTTTTGTCTGCTTATTGAGATTCTTCTTTTTCACAAATTTACAGAAGTCGAAATTCTTCAAGGTGAAGAAAAATATAAAGTCACATATGACTCTTGGCATAGTGCCCTTTGGATCAGGTGAGAAAATCCCTAACTTTAATTCAAGCCAGGATTGAAGCATTTCAGAAAAAATTTTCAGTACCCTAAGAAGATTATTACAAGGCCTGATGGTATTTTGGTGATAGCTAAGTGCCTCAAAGGGCCAATAAAGGATTAGGGGTAGAGCTGGTCTGAGGCTGGATTAAGAGACATAAAAATGATGATGGCAAAATGATACCTTAATCATGGCTGACATTTGTGTGGCACTTTCTCTATTACAAATTACCTCCACTTTCATTATCTAATCCAATTATTTTGACATCTTTCAAATGTAGGCAAAGAAAATATCTCCCTTCTTTACTCCATCCTCTTTGGAAACTGAGGCATGGGCAATTTTAAGGACTTACCCAAGTCATAGGGAAATGTGCAAAGAAAGTAGCACAACTTAGATTGAAATTAAGCTCTTACTGACTTCAAAGCCCAAGGGTCAGGCTCTTATGAAGTTGAATTGATTATTTCCAAATGGAATATGATATCATCAATCTTAAAGTCTTAGCAAGAAGTAAATCACAATAAATGATCAAAATTTCAGATAAAATCATAGAAGAACCAACAATTTGGTAGCGTATAAAACATTTCAAAAATAAAAAATATTAGAATAAAGAAATCAGAAACAATGCATAGCCATTAAAGCATAGGATTTGCAAGATGGCTGTCTTTAAAGAATGATTCTGGCACATGCTGCTGTGATTTTGATACATTACTTAACTTTTCGATTCTAAAATGAGGCTAATGATTCTATAAAATCTATAAAATGAGAAACCAATTTCTACCTCTTGGAGATGCTCATAAGGATTACAGGGGAAAATATGTTCATACATGCATTACCCATTTTTCCTGTTGCTGAACAAAATATCTGGCACATGCAATTTAAATGAAGGGAGATTATTTGGTCACAGTTTGAGAGAATTCAGTCCATGACCTGGCTCCATGGCAGGATCATAGTGGCAGAAGGGCATGGTTTAACAAAGCTGTTCAGTTCATGCACATCAGGAACTAGAGCAGGGGACAGCACCAAAGATGAAGAGGCCAGGACCAGACATACTTGTGAAATCATGCCTCCATGACCCACCAAGACATATCCAGAATTGTGCTTTATAAATTTTCTTGGCGGTTCCCAAGTAAATTGAGTTGACATTTAAGTTTAATCATCACAGTGAACTTATGACAAAGATCATTGTCATAATTCTTCAAGAGCTATTCATAAAGTGAGTCCTAATGAGTTATTGGACTCTTCTTTACAACATAACGTATGGGAAGCCATTGGCTTAGCAGTCACTTCATTATGGATTCGCCATGACTGATAACAATGTCATTTGCCTACACACAGTGGAAAAAGCCATAGACACTACACGCTGAAACATTTTATGGGGAATATGGAGAATCCATTTGGAATGGTCAGTTAGGGCTACATGGTGGACATCTTGGTGACAGAATCAGGAACTTGTACTCTACTCTGTGGGCAACAATAAGCCACAGAAAGTGTTGAGTAAAAGGATGGAAACTTTCAAGTTCAGCTTTAAATTATCCCTCAGAGAGCAACCATTAGAGGTAGAGGATCCATCAGAAATTTGTTTTAGGAATTCACCCTCAGAAAAAAGAAAAGTCAACCAGAAAGACTTAGAATAATCATTCAGAGGGGTCATGGGCCATATAAAGGATGGACAAATCTCAAAGGTAGACTTATTGTAAATTTTTAGTTTATTTTTTAAACTTGTGACATGCCTATCAGACAGGGTGCTATACACAGCCACATCTTCATATAAGCTTGCATTTGTTTTAAATGTTGACTTACAATGCTTGCTTTTTTTCTTTCCACCCATCTCCAGGTTTGAAAAATCCTATCTTGTTTTCCAGGGACTTGAACACCAGTATCTTATCAATGCCACTTTTTGCTGGTGTCACCGGCTCTTTCAATCACCTTGTCATCTCTAGCCTGAAATTCTTTCATAATGGACTCAATTGTCCCCAACCCTACACTTTGTGAATTTCATCTGCAGCCCACATCCTTCCTCATTTTTCTGTGCTGTTGACTCAGGACCTGGATTTTTGTGTCCTGTTTGTTCTCTCAGTAGTCCTTGATTTCTTTTCACTACTTCATATTCAAACTGACCTTTTTTATTTTATGACTTAGGCATTTATTGCTTGATGGCATTTATCACCCATGGGTATAGAATCATTTATCCACTATGCCTCCTTTCTTCCCAGTTAAAGTTCACTCAATGTTACCTTTATTTCCCCCTGATTCTACTCTGCTGCAATCTGACTTTTCATTATTATTCTTATCAGCAGTCTGTTATTTATAGAGTGGAAAAATAAGATAAGCTCTTTCTAGTATGGATGGGGCACAGGCAATGTTGCTAGGAATAAGAAATATAAAAAGGAAAGCAGAGCTATGTAAAGCAGAGCTAGAGAGGCAATCCTGATTGCTGGGTGAAAAGTGAATTGCAAAGATTTGGGAGAGAAAAGTGGGACTGCAGAAGGCAGAGGTAGATCTGTGGTCGGGGGCGGGGCAGTTGCTGTTTGTTTGTTCCATGTCCGGTGCTGTGTTAAATCCTGTAAATGCATCCTCTCATTTAAGCTTTACCCTAGATAGGAGGTTATATTAGCCCTGCTTTACAGGTAAAAGACAGCGCTTAGAAAGCTTCTTTCCAAGGTAATACAGATAGTCTGGGGCAGATCTTGCCTCCATATTCAAAGAGTATAAACATGTAAAATGATCACAGATGATTTCTTATCGTGGCATCCTGTGGCATCATATGATACGACTGCATCATAAAGAAATGTGAAATAAATAGGACACACATGTGTAAATATTGAATAGTTTTTTCTGGTGTGAAAAAATAAAAGTGTAAATAAGTTCAAAATGTATAACTGATAATGTGAAATAAGAAGAAAAGGTCTAAAGGAGTAGGGGAAGTGGGAGGGTAGGGGAAAGGAAAGAAGGGAATAGAAAAAATATGAGAAAATGAAAAAATGGAAACAAAGTCTTTGTAAATAGGGAAGGGTGGAGGGGGTGAAGAGCGGGCAGGGGAATGGGGAAAAAATAAGAACCAAGATACATCATGTAAAGGTACAAGATCCCGATGATGAATGTAACTGTATTGTATACCTAAAATGTGCCAATAAACTTAACGAAAGAAAAAAAGAAATGTTCTGATCCAGCAAAGATTTAGGCTCAATCTACTCATGAGGTTTCTCTTTACAGCAGTGAAAATATTATCACCAGCCCTAGGTCTAATGCAGGAAAATGGTAAACAATGGTATATTCACACAAAGTTGGTAAAAACACTCCAATTCATATTTTAATGGTTACAATAAAAGTTGGACAAATTTTACTTAGAAATATTAGAATTAAAAACTAGACATACAAATATATTTGCAATTAAACATAAAACACAGAATTCAAATATTAATAGTATTCCTCTCATATTTTCTTCTTTACAGTGTAATAATTCTCCCCATTTTAAAGTATATAATCTTCTTGGAAATTTGAAAAAGACTTCGAAGTTAAAAAGGCGGAGAGAAACAACAATGCTAAACTCTCTACTGTTTGACTTTCTCTAATCTTCATGACATAATGCAGACAAATGTTTATATGTATATTTTTCTCATTTTCTGATTGCCAGTTTGAACATTTTGAACAACACGTACAAAATGAAGAGAAAAGAAACAGAAATCTTTCATAATTTTATTCCCCAGAGATGACTACCATGGATATTTTAAAGTTTTTCTTATAAACTTATATGGTATTGTTTTCAGTTGTTGAAACCAAGCTCCACATTCTAGTATTTTAAGAACAGAAAAAAAACAGGACAAGAATGATCATAGGAAACAGGTTCTCTATAAACGCATGTGTTTTCCTCCAATATTTATATTCTATAAACGTTGCAGATATGTTTAGCTATGTAGCCTATTATATTATAAAGCTCCACCTACAACAATCATATCTTGCTCCCAGACACAGCCTCAAAGTCTAGAATAATATGTAGGCCTCTAAAGATAGAGTAAAAGAGTAAATAAAACAGACAATTTTGTCTCTGTGTGGTTTTTACCCCTCAGATTAAAAAAATAATTAATTCAAAAGAGATTTATAATTGCAGGAAATTATTTTTTTGCATTTCCTTGATTATAAAACTATCATATGTAGCTCAGTGCTATCTGCTTAAGTGAGAAAGAAAAGTAGAAATAAAACAGGGCTTGTTTGACAATATTTTTCTGTCACAGTGTCCTATATATTTGGCCATAGTTAAATGATGGAAACAGTACCAATAATTGGTTGAAATTACATGTGCACATCAAGAGTAAGACTGCTTATTAAGGAAAACATTTGTTGGTTTTGCCAAAGGACACATTCACGGAAAGGGCCAAGCTTTTTCTCAAAGGCAAAAAACAAAACAAAGCAAAGTAAAAACCATATAACCTAGACTATTATAGAACTTGAGTGCATTTGAGAGAAGGGTAGACCTCTAAATCCTTTAAAATTGTAAACTTTCCATTTTATTATTTCTAATTTTGATTCGTCTCTAACAATTAAGCCAAAACATTGACTTTATGATCTTTTTAACCATATTTTTAAATGGTAATATTTGGCATGGTAATATTTGCATGTTACCTTAAAATTATTTTCTATCATTTTCAAATATGAATGACAATGTGGCTGGGTTTTAGCTACTTTATATTTTTCCCAAAATTTTGAAATTTTTTTTGTTGTCTAATATTTAGAGATACAAGAAATAGAGAGGTCTGCCAATCACCTGATTCATTTTAGCAGTAGCTATTTGTTAATAGCTCCCTTAATAATTAAAGGCTTTTTGTTTGCTTTATTTTCATTTTGGTTTAGCCTTTATATTACCTACCCCCTAGCATATTCCAAAATTTGCATCCTTTAATCTACTCCTTTTTGTATTTATTTTTGAGCTTTTTTGTGTGGTACGTAAGTCCTTTTAAACCTCAGCTCTCAGAAAAAAATTAATAATTTTTCTTCTCTTTCAGTTGTTCTGATATTTTACTAAGAGGACAATACATCTTATAGTTTATTTCCTAATATCTATTTTCCATATTTCTAATTTTCTTCTTTACTGCTTTTCTCTAGACAAACACTTCCATATTTTATGATTTAGTGTTCATTTAGAGAATGTCTTGAGCTCTAAAGCTAATTAAATAACTAAAAGCATTAGAAGTTGGTTCTCTTTATAAATCATTTTCAGAGATAAAACATCCACAAGTATTGATAAAAGTACTCCTATTACCTTATTTGTTTCAGTTAATATATTTTATCACAATTACCCATTCATTTGAAGATTTTAATTTATTCACTTTTGCAAGTATGATATCTACCCAAACCCAGCACTGACCATATAAAAAAATTCATTTTTCATTACTCAGTGAACCCATGGACACCCAGGGTATATCTTGCCTTGGCATCCAGGGTCAATGCCTTTCTGTTCTGAGTTAAAGATCATGTTTTCTTCTCATCTCATAGTCCAGGGAATAGCAAGAAAGGTTTTCATTTATTTCTGAGGTCTTCTTGGATAAAATGTCATCTTTTCTTTTCCTACTAGTCTTGTAAAAAGGAATATATCACTGCTAGCCACATGAAAATCCCTATCCCAATTCCTAGATTTATTTTTTCCTGGTCTTACACTTTCTGAATAGACTGACATCAATTGGACAAGAGGGAAGGAAACCAAATAAAAATAAAAACAATCCAGATGTTTTTTACAAATCAAATTGTGCCTTTGAAATTTAGCAAAGTGTGACAAAAGGTATTTTTGGCCATTTTAAGGTAAGCTGGTTGTAAAGGAACATTTAAAAAAATTTCTGTATGAATCCGAACCAACCGAAGCAACATCAAAACTAGGCATATTGAAATTAAAACTCACTTCCTTAAGAATAAAATTGATGAAAATTTAGATTGAGGTTTAAGGCAAAATGGAAATGCCACTATTTTACCTTGATTTAGATAGCCCTATCTCCTGGAAGGAGAGGAAAAACTCAGGCTTTCACTTGGGGATGTTTCCATGCGGCCTAAGGCAGACGGAAGAACAGAGCCTGTGTTTACACAGAGAGGAGTGAATAAAAGGCACTGACAATGTTGCATTCTAAAAGAGACCCCTCTCAGAAACAGAAAGAGGGCAGGATAAATGTTCCTACCCTGGCAGATGAATGTTCCCTCTCTTTGTAGTTTGCACTTGGACTGGCCAGGCTACCAATTGCATATGTTAATTCCCCACAGTTCAGTAAATAGATGTTGAAATTTTCCCTCATATTCCAAAATTGAGTTGGTAAGATTTCAAAACTGTGTGTGATTTCTTTTCCTGTGTCTTACATATATTAATAGTTTTTCTATTTTATTCCTCTCCTACTTTTCCATATTTTCTACTAAGAATATACTGGTTACAATAAGAAAACAGTAATATCGAATAAACCTTTTTTAAAAATGTTGGCTTTAAAAATGATGTTTACTCTTAAGTTCAATAGGCCTCCTTGCTCACTGAATGAAATTTTGCACGAATTAGTCTACTTGGTGTGCTGCTATAAAACGTTTGTCACAGTTTAGATATTGTGAACAGTAGACATTTAGTTTCTCACAGTTCTGGATGGTAGAAGTCCATGATGTGGTGCATACACACTGGATTTCTTCAATGGCCTCAACTTGGCTTGTAGATATCTCCTTCTTCCTGTGTTCTCATTTGACTTTTCCTCTTTTCCTTTGTTGAATGAACAAGAAACGAGAAAGCAAATGGTTCTAAAGATAGTAGATGCAGTTTTTATGGACATGGTATCTGGAGTTTAACAACAGCACACACTGTGGCTTCTAACAGAGCTGGACTCCTACAATATCCCCAGACAATAATTGTTTATACAGACAGGTAAAATATCCACCTCACTTCCAACCCCATATTATGATAGACTTCAGGCAACTGTTGGGATTTCTCAGAGAGCTGTGACCATATGTGCCTTTGCAGATGGAAGGGGTGGGTGGAGATGAAATGAAAAATTATGTCAGATTGCTGCTCAATGACCCAAAAGAAAGTCATGAGACGTTGGTTAGAAATGTGGATCCATAGTTAAGGAGGAAGTTGTAACACTGTAGATCCTGTTCTCATCTATGTAACAGTAGTAATAAACACTTTGAGAGTGAGTATTATAGCCAAATAAGAGAGTAGAGGAGGAGGAGCAGGAAAGTTGAGAAACAGAAAGGGAGAAAGAAAGAGAGAGGGAGAGAGAAATAGGAAGAGGGAAAGATGGAGAGGGAGAGAAAAAAGAGGAAGAGAGAGAGAGAATATAGACTAATCATAGGAGCGTGCCACGGGAAGGACAAATAAAGAGAAAAGGTGAATTTGACAAAGATCAAGAAGGAATAATTCCAGTTGCATAACAAGAACCAAAAAAGAACAATATTATGAATGCACAAAGAGGATGGCAACCTGGGAAATCACTGGGCAAGGCAAGGGACAAAGCAGAAGGGGTAGCAAATAATCTCATACAAGAGTTCCAAAAGCTTAAAATTTTTTTTCTAAGAGCTTTGTTAATGAAGAAAATGAAGAATAAGAGGGAAAATAGCACATTTATAAACTGACAGAAAAAAACCCACCTAAGTATTTTTGAAAGCTTGGATTTCCCATCAAATGGCAATTTGTGTTTTCTGCATTTGTGTTTTTGGATAAAATTTATTGGTATTTTATTTTGGAAAAATTGTCTCAAGAGTGTAGTGAAGGGCAAGCTATGTACCCAGTTAGGATAATGAAAAATTGATGTTCTATTTGTAGAATCTATGATTCAGTGGATTTGGTGCACATCCATACAACTGCCTGCCAGGAGTCTGACAAACCCATAAAATTCATTTCTTACAGAGATAAGCCCTTTCTATTTTGTAGAAATCATTTTCTATTCAGATTTCAACACTCTCTGTTATGGTCCAATAGGGAGAGTTGGTTTCAGGTATAATACAGCAGGATTTCTGTTTCGAACCAAATTATTCTGGAATATGAAGATTGGAAATAGTTCCAACTCTTTTGTTTCTTAGAGATGAACAAATAAAATGAATTGTGTTTGACAGAGAGTAGAAAATAAGGCACAAATAGAGAAGACCACACTGAGGAGGGGTGTTACCCATGTTCTTGATCTCTTTTTAAATGAGTCCTACAGGACTTTGAAGCGTGACAGGATTGGACTCTGCATTAGAATTCGGGATTCAGTATATTTATCAGCTACTGTTTCTTGAACATCTACATTGTATCAGATATTTTTCATGTAATCATTGTCACATTGAATACCACCAACACTACTGTTCTCCTCATTGGACAGATGACATTTAAGTGACATATTTAAGGACTCAAACATACTGAATAGAAGAATTAGGATTTGAGGTCAGATCTGTTAAAAACCAATGCTTACTCACTATAATATGCTTTACTCCCCTAAAGAAAATGCTTTTTAAAGGATCTATGGATCACTGATGTATTTTTCAAAACATCCATGGTACCAAAAAAAAAAATCCATGGAATTTTTTGTTGTGTTAATTTTCTTGCATGTTTTTTATGAGAAACCATGCGGAGTTTTACTAAAATAAGATTTAATTATAATTTGAAACAAATCTTGAAGCCATTGGACAAATACTTTTTTAGACCCTTAGGAATTATGGATTTCCACCTTTTTGAAGTGAATTTAATGGTATTTTATTGTTTTTATTTCTTTGCTTAATTTTGTGATTGCCAAAGTCTATACTACCTTGTACTCAAAGACTGAAAATTTTCAGCAGGTTACAGGTAAGAAAATATTTCCTAACCACCATATTTAGAAAGTGAGTGGGGGCCTATTCGATGGTGGTATCTACTTATTGATAATCTTGATATTATTGTGCAATTGGTTGGTGATGAAGAAAAATTCCCTTAGAAATCCCTTCCTATGATCATTTTTTGCTGAGTCTGCTGACAATATTAAAACAATCATCATTTTCTGATAGCCCTCATTGAGATTTCTGGAGTCACTCATAGTAACATTTGTCTCAAATGTCTATTTCAGCCATTAAGAATATCCTGTACCATAGTGCTTGGCAGAGTGCACAGTGCTAACATAACAGGTTCTCATTATATGTTCCTTGGATGGGAAGGAGCTGACACAATATAATGTTTAGAAGGCAAATACATATATAAACAAGAATACAAGAATCCACCCAAAAAGTAAGTTTCATTGAAGTTAGTCTTTGGTTCACTTGGTAAAACATTATTTGCTTCACAGATAGAGCTGTGATTTTGTTGTTGATCTATTCACATTGTCTGCTTCCTTTATTTCTCTTTCTCCCTTTCTTTCCATTTATCTATTGTTTCATTTTTACTTATCCCTTTTAATTCCTTAATAATGCAAAATCTTCTAACTTTTATTGAACATCTATTTTATTTTATTAATTTTGTGTACTATCTATCTAAATTTGAAATATAGTACTTTTCTATTTTAATGATAAGTTTAACTGCTAAAAATGTATGTACCTTACTCAAAATCACACAGCTCATAAGTGGCAGAGCCATTCAATCCCTGAATCAAAGCCATTTATCTAGAGAAATGAAAGAAATACATATAAAGAAATAGATATAAATATGAGTGTCCCCTTTCTTAGAAAGTGAGCTGAATGGTGATCTACGCCAGTGTGGACTCTGAAAACTCCCATATGCTTCAGGACATTCTTTCTCTCTTTAGCTGAGTCTCACTGCTAGGCCATAAAAACTGAAAATTTCCCTGTGGTTCATTAGATAGGATGAAATTTAAGAAGAAATCATGTATGGTTTCATTCCTGTTAGCAAAAATGCATGAATGCAGGCATGCTACCATATAAATCAAAAGGACTAGTAGTAAAATTGTACCAAGAAATAGTATTTTGTCTTCATAATCATCCTTCTAGTGGATTGGATGTTCCTTAGAAGAAATTAGATTGAATCTGTAGGTGCATTGACAGTATCCTGACCTCTAAGCTTATACCCAAGTCCCAGGGATGGCAGTATGGTTCTGTAACTGAATAATTCAATAAATGCAGAGTATGTCTATGTGCCACATAAATCTTTTTCATTCAGTGTCACTTACACTTTCTGGAAAAAGATTAGGTCTTGCCAAATAATATAAAAATGCATGTGTACAAGTTTTATCCTCCAGTGCTGCAAACTATTTCAATGACTTTTGAAGGCTCAATATCTCAGCATTAAATAATATTTTATTCAAAATTTCTTGTGTTAATGTTTGTGCATTCCTGGTCAAACTGTGATAATTGAATATATGATGTCATAAACAAGTATCTTACTTTTTGCATTGCTGAAACAAAATACCCGACACCCAAAGTTAAAGGAGGAAAGGTTTATTTCAGCACACAGTTTGTAGAGGTTTCAGTCCATATTCAGCTGGCTCCAAGGCAAGGTGGCATGCTAGAGGGGCATCACAAAGGAGAAACAGTCCATGGCAGGCAGAAGGTAACAAGCAGCAAGCAGTAGCAGCTTTCTTCTGTTCCTTTATATTCTGTCCAAGCTGTTAGCTTAGTGATTAGTTTCATCCACACCCACATCCCAGCATCACACACTTATTTCCAGCATCACAAATGCTAGATCCAGCCCCATCTATGACCCCTTCTATGAAAACTCCATGTATGGCTGCACGAGGTTTTGAAGGCCTCCCTAGATACAAGCCATAACAAGTTGCAAAGAAATGTATGTTACAGGATGGAAAAATGGTGAGTAGATTACTTTGAGAAAAATCAACGTGTAGTTCTCAGACAAGGAATAATAAAACAGAATACTAGTTATGTGTGCTGGTAGTTAATGACTGTACCAAAATATTTAAGAGAGAAATCAGATTAAATGTGTAGCCTTCTCATTTAACTATGACAGTTTAAAAGTCACCATTTAGCTTAAAGGGAGAGAAAAGGATGTGGGGGAAATAGAACTACAGGTGAAGAACAGGAAGGGTAAAAGAAAGTGTGAAAACTATGCTCAGGGAAAGGGTTTAAGGATAATCTAGACAACTCATAGGACCAGCTGGAAGCCAAGATATCAGAAACTAACTAAGTTTGGAACAATAATGTATTTGAAGACAAACATCTTGAAGATTTGGGAGAAAGAGAAATCTTTAGAACTGTGTTTTCCTCTGAACAACACATGCCTGAATCCAAGAGTATGCAGGAGAACAGAGAAATAGGATAAGGAGCAGGCAGGGACAGCAGATCCTGATGACCCATGTATATCTCATCTCTTCCCACAATTCACATGCACTTCCACTCACTAGTCAAGTAACTTCCCCATCCTCAAGACCTGCACCATGTCCAACCAGCTGTATCCCATATCTGTTGTGGAGTGGGGTCTATTGTGAATATTTTGGTGCTCTGTTCTTTGAGGAAAATATTTTATAGTGTTCATCCTGGACTGATTTTAATCTTGCATTTTTGTGATATATGTGATAGTGTGTAGGAAAACATAACTCATATTTGTAGTTTATGGGCTTCTGGATGCACAGTTCTGTTGGTAAGACTATATTTAATCCAGAAATACTGGACTTTCAGTTAAATACAGAGAACGAATGGAACTTTCAGATTTTTTCATTGGAGAAGAGCTAAGTGTGTTTAATGATTTCAGGAAATATGGCTTGGTGCTCTCCATGGCCCTCACCTACACCTCGAATAGTTTCCTTCCATGGAGTGCAGACAGGGGCTATGACTCGCAAAAGACCAATAGAAATCACTCATCCTCAATCACAAAGATCATAAAAGGTCACTTCTGGTACATTACATGGCAATAGAAATGAGATATGATTGTGTCACGTTATAGAAGACTGTCTTTTTAGCAGGCACACCCTATTAGTCTCTCTCTCTCTCTCTCCCTCCCTCCATCTCCATTTCTGAAATGAAATAAAAAAGTTTTTGTGACATGTATATATACAAGAGATAAATTACATTGTTGCTCAAGAGAGCTAGAAAATGATCCCTTTCCCGCTGGGCTTCCCAGTGAGAATGCTGCCCTGACCCACAATTTACAGGCTTGTGGGACCATAAGCCAAGAACCCACCTAAGCTACACTTGGGCTCTTGACCCCTAGAAATGTTAGGCAGTGGATTTAAAGTACTGTGAGTACAGTAATTTGCTATGTTGTAACAGAAACCTAATATAGTTAGGCTTGGATATTTGATGAACAGAAGGAGAGATAATGATTAAGGAGATGACTTGCAGATCACCAAGAATTAAGTGGGTTTTTTCATGATTTACAATTATTATTAGGAAGAGATCACACCCAGGAACACATCCTTTTTCCCTTTTATAGAAGTAATGCCATGTGACTAGCTCTGGCTAATGCAATTTTACTAGAAATTATATATACCTCTTCTGGGTGATTTTTATGGTTCTGGATTTTGTATACCCTCTATTCCTTAAATATGTCCTCTTCTTTTGGGTCACAGGTATTAATGATGATAGAATTTCAAGAAAGAGGGAGCTTGTATCCTCGAAATACTGCATGTAGAAGAAACCCTTCCCCACCCACTGTTTTACTATTTTAAAAGGAAAGCAAGAGAACTTGTATTGTATTAGATGACTAACATTTAGGCTTTGTTATTATAAAGTTGATCTACCCTCGTTAAAACCATAGGTGTAAAGTACTTTTATTGTAAAGATAATTTCTGGAATATATTTTATGGTACTTAAATGACACATACATACAAACCAGTGCATTTTATCTCTGAATCTAAACAAGTTTTTAAAATTAGTATCTATTTCCAACTGAAGTCATGAATACATAGATGGAACTAATGAATGAATTAAGCCAGGCTATGCTATGTCTATTTTCTGGAGCTCTATGTATATTCCAAGGTGGTAGCAACATATCTATTGTTCAGTCATACCACACTACTGAAAATAAAGACACTTGGCAACTAACAGATTTAAACTTAAAGCCTTGTTCCAAGAAAGTAATAGGTATTTGATTTTGCAAAGTTATTTAGCTTTTGCTTCTCATTTTTGCCATCCTGTAAATTTGAACAGTATTTACAACGTAGAACTGGTGTCAGAGGATACTGACATGTAAAATATCCAGCAAGCAGGTGATCTATAACATGCTTGATTTCTTCCTTTTCCTTTTCCTCCTTTGTATATTATGTCCAGCAGCTAATGGCTAACATTCATTAGGTATGACTTTTTCAGGACTTTGCTAATGGAAGTTACATATCAAAACATTAGGACTACAATTTTTGCAACTACTTGCTGAAGCTGTCCCTTACTTTATTTTTTATGATACTGACTTCAAAGATTTATTGTAAGCAAGGATTATATTTATTTTGAAACTCTTGCAATGCTTTGATTATAAAAGCAAACTGACAAAATGGTGTATTTGGTACGATTAAATCATTGCAAAATTCTCTTTTGTGTTCACATTTCTAACTAGAAGCAAAAATGATGAAAATAGAGCTTTTACAATTGGGAAAGGGGCCAACAGTCCCAAGGAGCAGGGAGGGAGGGGTTGGGTAGTGGATGAAAAGGCAAAACAATAGAGAAAAAATAATTAAGATATATTATGTGCATGTACCAATTCCCTATGATAATTGTAATCGTTATGTACTTCAAACATGTAGTACTAATAAAAAAATTCTGTGAATCTTTAGTAATGGTTACATCTGTGTGTGTGTGTGTGTGTGTGTGTGTGTCCACACAGCATTGTACTTGAAAGTAAATAATTTAAGAGCTAAAAAAAGACTGAAAATAAGTTTGTAGTAAGGCATCTTTGGACTTTAATAAGCAAGGCTTTTCTTCTTGCAATTTTCTCCACACACTTTTCACAGAACCACACAGCCTTTATTCCTTTAGGTTCACTCTCAGCTCTATTGGCATCTCATGCCCTTCCTCTAATCTCAGTGTATTCTGTTTGTTATTCAAAGTTCAGCTCTTTTATCCTGAGCTGGAAGCCTCTCCTTATGATTTCTACATTCATTCACTGAATTGTGTTCCTATGTGTTGCTGTGTAGGGGACTAATTTGGCCAGGACATGTGGCATTTTGATTCTGAGGCTCTAAGTCTGTAGCAAAAAATCCCAACCATATGGAGGATATAAGGAGAGGCAGAAGCCAAATGAAAGCTGTAAAGGAGAGGAAAAGGACACCACCAAAGAAAGTCTCCCCACACACCAGTACCAAAGGCATCAAATGTGAGTCTTAAATTTGAGTTCAAAGAGATGACACTCCATGAAATATAGAGAAGAGACAATATTTTTGAAAGGCTAATAATGGGTATTTCCTGAGGGTGGCAAATGTCCCTCTACTAGTCATTGTAGGCTGTTTTCTGTATTTATAAGACCTCTTTGTTTCTGTTCACAGACTAATGAGGACACCAGCTGATATGACCTGAAGAGTCATGTCTGCATAGCTAAGGAACAGATCTGGCTTCGTAATTCATCAGCTGTTATTTTCGTCATGCTGCCAAACTGCTTTTAAGCATCATTTTAATGAAAGAACAGGAGGTCAAGTAATGCTCATCTCTTGGAAGGAAGGGCAAGTCAATAGGATAATATAGGGAAAGGCTTGTAAGTTGAAAAGTACTGGTGAAATCCCAGAGAACACTGCAGTATAAAATTGAGCAATATTGGACGCTACTCATTAACTCTGTTATAGGTACGAAATGCTATATTTTCTACCCATACTAAAAGGTTTTTGGTGGGAAGAATCTGTGCCTCATATTACTAGGCTACACTTTAAGGATAGGTCTAGAGTTATGTTACATATTCAACATGTGTTTGTTCCACAAATGGTTGCTCTTCCTTCTGCACAACACTTAGCACTCTTCTGGCTTCTCCTTTATGTCTCACGAGAAGCAGAAAACTTTATAAATAATCATTACTCAGAGTGATACTAAGTTGACAGGGTAAATAACACCAGTTTTCACTACAAGAAATACTTAAATTCCAACACTAGCTTGGTCAGGCACGGAATTTTTGAGTAAGTTGCTTAGCTTCCCTGTACCTGTTTCTTCATCTGTAGAATGGAGGTCAGACTAGGTGGCTCAGGGGATTTTCAAAAGGCCAAATGACCCAATGTGAATAAAGTGTGCAACATGGTTTTGCTTAGGACAAAATAGCTGATCAATGAAGGATGATTCTTTCGTTTCTCTTTGGCTACCTTTGGCTGTCTCCTGGACGAATGTGTATCTGTATGCCCTGCTCTTTTGGTCACTGGTGTTCTGCCTGTTTTTATGGCTATGTCTAAGTTTAAAGATTTCAGATATGGAGCAGATAATTTCTGGGTAGTAGCTGGCAAGAAAGGTTTTCTTTTTTTATTTAAGTTAATATATTTCACCAGAACAATAGCTTTGGATGTCCCTGCTTGATAATTCCACCATCAGCCTACCTGTAGATGAAAGCTCTTTCTGTATTTCGTAACAAGAGCAAGGCTGTTTGATGTCACTTTGAAAAGTATTAAAGAACATAGAAGGAAACCTAGAAGTAAAATAACAGAAGCAGCTTCAGAGGAGAACAATACTTCATTTCTGTTCACAGGAAACTTCACCGTTCAAATGTGCTCACTTTTCCAAAAGCACCTCCTCCATTTCAACCCAAACACTGAAAATGGAGCCCATTAAATCAGAACAAAAACACTTTGGAAAACATCTTTAGAAAAACTACAATTTTGGCATAAAAGGATCAGAATCAAGAAGGATGACAAAATGAAAATGAAATTCAGTTTGAGGGAGGCAAGTTCCCAGGTAGTTATTTGTGAAACTTGCAAAATAGCAATCAAAGAGGGAGACTATACCCATCAGCACATATTGTTCCATAATATCCCTGATTTACTCTTTCAGATATTTAAAGAGTTGCACAATTATCGGGGCCCAGGATCCTATTTCATAGAAAAGGGAAGAGTTCAGTGAAGGTACTCATCAAGAGTCTGTCTCCAGTTTTCTTTACTGTTTCAAACCTTCCCTCCTTTTATGGCCTCTTGCCATGCCCCACTGCATCGATAGCACCCTCCCTGACCACCGTAACTGACGTGTATCCTCCCTCTTTCAAAGCCTGGCAGGACTTAGTCTCCATGCCATGAACTGGGAGCCAGACTGCCAAGCCTGAATCCTGGCTCTGGCAGGTGCTAATTGTAAAATCTTGTACAATATTGTTTAAATTCTTCATGCATATGTTTTGTCATCTTCTGTTAGCATTTTTTATTGTTAATATATTTTCTAACTGATAATGATCACATAAGTTAAGGGGCACAGCTTTCTTCAAACAGTATCAAAAATATGGTTAGTACAACATACTGAGTTACTTATGCATTAGTTATGATAGTTAATATGCGCCTTACCTAATTAATGCTTCCCCACTTAGAGTAGATCAAGCTTGCTCTCTCTCTCTTTCTCTCTCTCTCTCTCTCTCTCTGTCTTTCCCTCTCCCCTCTTTTGCAGTACAAGGAATTGAACCCAGACCCTTGCACATGGTAGGTAAATCCTCTAACATTGAGTTGGTACCCCTTACCAAATAAGACAAGTTTGTCTTAGCTACTTCAATTTACCTTTAGAAAAATATAAAGTAGTGAAAAACAGGGCCCAGCTCCCACTCAGATTCATATTATGAAGCTGGAATCTGTGAACATGTTACCCTACATGGCAACAGAGGATTAGCATGACCTTGCATGATCCAATCTAAGTAAATGTGTCCCTAAAGTGAAAGAAACTTTCCTCCATATGGAGAGAGAATAGTGATAGAAGAAGGATCAGAGGGATGGAATATGCTAGCTTGGGTAGTAGAAGAGATGGGGCCATAAACCACAGTATGGGCAGCATCTGAAAGCTAGGCTGTCTCATAGAGCCTCCAGAAGGGATCCAGTTCTGTGGACACCTTGTTTCTTGTCTCATAAAGACCTGTGAAGAAATATATTTTATTAAGCCACCAGGTTTATGGTGATTCACTGTGGTAATCATAGGAAATGAATTCACTTGATATGCAAAGCCTTCTGGTTTAATGTTTGCTTTCCTCTCTGCCTACCTGAGGGCCCCAAAGAACAAGATGGAAAGAAAGGTCCAAGGCCAATGGTCAACTGCCTTTGTGTGGGGGCAGGACTCACATGAATCTGGTGGTATATTTCCAGAAAGAGACAGAGAAATTATCTGAGAATGGATGCATATTTGATGCAGAATGAAGGGAATGGGAAGGAGAAAGTACAATAGGCAGAATTTTAAGATGCCCTCTGATACTCCTTTGGTATTAACGCCTTTACATCTACTCAATATGATGGAAAATTACTTCCATGATTACAGTTCATTCTATGGCAAAAGGAATTGTTTCAGATGCACTTAACCTGCAAGATCAGTTAATGTTAGATGAGGAGATTATCTGGGTGCAGCTGACTTTATCACATGACCTAGGAGCTGAGGATGTACTGGGGGAAAAGAAAATTTGTGAACCAAATATTGTACTGGTGGCAATCAAACAATAAATAAAAATATTTTTAAATATTTCTGTGTGTATGTGTGCATGTGTCTTCCTATGCAGAGGTGGTTGGATGGCTGGGTGTATTAAGCATGTCAGATGGTGATGAATGGGCTAGAGAAATAAAGGGGAAAATGAAATAGGGAATTGGGAATGTCTGAGATGGAACAGAGAAAACAGCTTTAAAATATGAACGGATGGTCTGGGAAGATCTCAGTGGGAGGGTGGCACTTGCCCAAAGCTGGATGGAAGAATGAGTGTGCAAGCTAGGAAACTTTCTTGGGCAAGAGCTCAGCAGGCAGAAAGGAGATCTCTAAGGCCTGACATGTAGCCCAGTATTCATAAGGAACAGCAAGAGGGCAACTATGGCTGGTACATTTAGTCAACAAGCAGAGAGGTAGCCTAGATGAGATTAGCACAGGAGACCATTGTTCAAAGTTGGGCTCGCACTCTGCTGGGATTAAGAGTCAGTCATTGCCGATAAGCAGAGAGAGATGTGGTCTAACCTGTACTTTACAGCATCAGCCTGGACACTGTGCTATGTATTCATGTAGGAGGATGAGGTCAGAACCACCGAGAAGAGGCTAGAGAATGGGGAGGTATTTTCAAATACCACTAGAAATGTTAAAATTTCAACCAGAGGTTTTAAACAAAATATTTGTTTTGGAAATCAAAATCTGATCTCCCCAATGAATAATTTAATACACTTCGTGTAAATGAATTAAAGGGTTTTTTTTTTTCTCCTTCTCCAGAAATAATACAGGTAATAGATCTTTCTTCTTCAAAGCTCTTTGTAAATCATCTGAAATGCAGCCAACATTTAAAGCTGGATTAAAATGCTGGCTGCTTTATCCTCTGTTAACAATCACTTTGTTCAAAACGTGACTATGGAGTAAATGAAGGATCAGGATGATTTGGGAAAGAAAATATACCATTTGCAAAAGACTTGAATGATAAATTACTGAGCAGTCCTAAATGCCAACTTCACGTCTCTGATCTCTTTGCCTTGACTGAGGCAGCATGCAAAATTAACTATTTCTTCTTGGGGTGTCTGGATAGCAGAGGCTAAAACACAGAAATGGCCCAGACACCTCTGCTTCCGGAGGGTATCCTTGAACTGCACATGTCAGAAAGGAAGAACATTGCTCTGCAGACGCTCTCCCTCACTGATGGCTGCAAGAAAGGGAAAAGTCCTTATTTGCTCTCTTTAGCATCTAACCGTGAAGCATTTTCAGAGACTCAGTGATTTGTCTGACCCAACACTAGGCACTGGGCTAATGTGGGTATGAGTTCTGATGCTGTTGTCCAATAGCTGTTTCCTCAGGAAAGTTTTAATCCAGTCTGCAGTCAATTTTTTAAAAATAATTTCAAAGTCAGTTAGAGGCAATCTCTGGCCATATGGCTGAGCAACTCAATGTCTCCTGCTTCAACCTTACAATAAACTTATGGAAATTCTGATGAAATAGTACATTTTTAAGATATCAAAACCAAATTTCAAATTGAAAGTTTTAAAAATATAAAACAACTTTCTACAGAGACAGGCTTAAATTTAATTTAAAAATAATAAAGCAAAATGTGTGTGAAAGAAATGTGGTGGTTACTCAAAGTTAGAATAGAGGGCCAGGGATTTAGCTCAGTGGTTCCACCACCTGCCTTGCAAGCTAAGGACCCGGGTTCAATCCCCCCAGTACCGAAAAAAAACAAAGTTAGAATAGAGACCATCTGCTACTACAGCCAACCATTAGGGCCTCAGTCCCCACAAGAAGCCAAAATGGCCTTTGTTAGAGGTAACAATTCAAACAATGGAGGGAAGTCGTAACCTTCAAACAACAAAAATGTATAAACTTGTCTAAGCATATCTGTAGAAATAGTCTCATATTGAATTCACAAACAACCAAATGCAGCTTAATATTATTTACAAGAGATTTCTACAAGATAATAAAACAACAAAGTTTAAAATAAAAAAGGAAAAGAATATTTCAAAATATTAGCCAAAGACAAATTAGTGAAATGATATTTATATCTGATAAGATAATATTTAAGACAAAAGTTTCTTTGAGGTACTAATGGTGATATTTTACACTGAAAATTCTTTTGTCTATCTGACCAGAGAAAAATAAAA